AGGCAGCAGAGCCCCTAGTCCGAATGACAGGCAAATGATCTGTGTTGGTATATGTATTCATCCGCCATGCAAGATGGGGTCTGCGGGTCAGATCCTGGCAAGTGGTGACCCCGATGTGACAGAACACCAGTTAGGTGGCTACTGCAATCATTCTGGCAATGCGAAATGAGATGATGGATGCTCAGATGAGGGAAGTCATGGTGGTATCAGTGACAAGTGATAAGATTCTGAAGATTTTGAAAGTAAAACCACCAGGATTGGCTAATGTGGGTAGTGATCTATAAGAGGAAGATAGTAGTCAAGAATAACTTCGAAGATTTTGGCCAAAGTAACTAGAAAGATTTGTCACTTAGAGATGGGAAAGCATAGGGAAGGAGCAGGTCTAGAGGAAGATCAGGCCATTTATATGCTGTGAGGCTTTAAGTGAGTTGCTTAACCACCCTGAGCCTCAGTTTCCTTATTTGTACAATGGTTATAATAATTGCTCCCCTGCAGGGGGGTGGTGAGAATTTTTTTTTTTGAGATGGAGTCTCACTCTGTTGCCCAGGCTAGAGTGCAGTGGTGCAATCTTGGCTCACAGCCACCTTTATCTTGCAGTTTTAAGCAATTCTCCTGCCTCGGCCTCCTGAGTAGCTGGGACTACATGCCTGGCTAAGTTTTGTATTTTTAGTAGAGATGGGGTTTCATCATGTTGGCCAGGCTGGTCTTGAACTCCTGACCTCAAATGATCTGCCTGCCTTAGTCTCCCAAAGTGCTGGGATTACAAGTATGAGCCACTGTGTCTGGCTAGTGGTGAGAACTGAGTGAGATCCTGAACTCAGAAGCTTGGCATATGTGTGTACCCAAAGTACATGTCACCCACAGCCCTAGGATAGCGCATGGTCATCATACCTCCTCAGGAAGCAACTGGAAAGAAAGGAAGACTCTGCCTATAAGTCTATATTTTCTTGCTCCTCTCCTCTGCTTCCTTTGGATAGAAGTGGGACAGGCCTTTTCAACCTTATAAGTTTTCTCTCTTTAAGGTCTGGAGATGATGATACTAATGGCAGCTGGTGGTGGGGATGATGTCAAATGCTCATATTCCGAAGGCTTTGAGGTATACAAAATACTTCATGGACAGTATCTCATCTGATCTACTTAATTTATGAAGTAGAAGAATGAAAAACAAAATAGGCTGAGTACAGTGGCTCATGCCTATAATCCCAACACTTTGGGAGGCAAAGATGGGAGGATCTCTTGAGCCCAGGAGTTCAAGACCAGCTTGGGCAACACAGTGAGACCCCTGTCTCTACAAGATAATTTTTTAAAAGAAACCAGGTTTGGTGGCGCCTGCCTGTGGTCCCAGCTACTTGGGAGACTAAGGTGGATCACTTGATCCTGTGAGGTTGAGGCTGCAGTGAGACATGATCATGCCATGGCACTCCAGCCTGGGTGACAAAATGAGACCTTGTCTCAAAAAAATAATATAAATAAAATAAATAAAAATAAAAAACAGGCTGGGTGCGATGGCTCACACCTGTAATACCAGCACTTTGGGAGACTGAGGCAGATGGATCACCTGAAGTCAGGAGTTTGAGAGCAGCCTGGCCAACATGTGAAACACCATCGCTACTAAAAACACAAAAATTGCCAGTTGTGGTGGTGGATGCCTGTAATCCCAGCTACTCTGGAGGCTGAGGCAGGAGAATTGTTGAACCTGGGAGGTGGAGGTTGCAGTGAGCCGAAATCATGCCACTGCACTCCAGCCTGGGCAACAGAGTGAGACTTGGTCTCAAAAAATAAATAAAAAAACAACATAAAGCCCAGGCTATAAACCCAAAGAGATATACCCAGCTATCTCATAGAATCTCATTTAATCTGAGGGGGGAAAAGCAGGTGGAGAAGAGGATCTTGAAGTAGGCATCCCTCTTCCTTTCCCCGAGGCGGAATGCTGCCGAGCTGTGTCCAGCTGTGCCCAGCTAGGAGAGACTGTGCCTCTACTTTTCTTCCCCAGGAGAGGGCCCACAGAGGCCCGCTGGGGTCCTAGTCCTCCACTGTGAGCATGCCTGGTGTTCAGGTGTGTGTCAGGCTACAGACTCACTGCTTCTGAGGTTTAGGCAAATAGGTCTCATATATTGTTCTGTTCCAGTTACTCCTTCCAGTTACTCCGTTACTGAAGGTACAGCGGAGAGGACTGGAGCCCAGAAGAGTCAACATGCTTAAAGAAACACAATTAGAAAGTGCAGTCTAGGCAGGGTGTGCTGGCTCAGGCCTGTAATCCCAGCACTTTGGGAGGCCAAGGTGAGTGGATCACTTGAGCTCAGGAGTTCCAGACTAGCCTGACCAACATGGTAAAACCCTGTCTCTACTAAAAATACAAAAAGAATAGCTGGGCATGGTGGCACACGCCTGTGATCCCAGTTACTTAGGAGGCTGAGGTAGGAGAATTGCTTGACCCCAGGAGGCAAATGTTGCAGTGAGCCGAGATTGTCCATTGCACTCTAGCCTGGGCAACAAGAGCAAAACGATCTCAAAAAAAGAGAAAAAAAGATAGGAAGTGCAGTCTGGGTTCCAACTCAGAGGAAAATCCTGTATATGTTCCCTGCCCTCTCCTCCTCCTAGACTAGAAGAGGTGGCCCGCCAGCTGCCCACTCTCCTCAATATACCAGGTGCCAGAACGCAGCTGTCTCTTCGTTGTTCCCCCACCCAGGCAGGCTGTAATTGGTGGGGATGAGCTGGGCGGGGCTACTCCCATGTTGAATCCAGTGGGGCTATCTCTATTCCAGGCAAATCCAGCCAGAGACTGATTCTGAGCAGCAGTTCTGCCCGGTGAGAGCTGCCACGGATCGGTGGGGACAGGGGACTGGGAGGTCAGGGAGTGTCAGGTCAGGGCGGATTAGGAGCCCCCCACCTCAAAAAAAATTAGAATTGCCTGGTGAAGGCTGGGCGAGGTGGCTCAGGCCTGTAATCCCAGCACTTTGGGAGGCCGAGGTGGGTGGATTACCTGAGGTCAGGAGTTTGAGACCAGCCTTGCCAACATGGTGAAACCCCCGTCTCTCCTAAAGATACAAAAATTGGCCAGGCATGGTGGGGCGGGGTGTGTGCCTGCAGTCCCAGATACTGGGGAGGCCAAGGCAGGACAATCGCTTGAGCCTCGAAGGCAGAGGTTGCAGTGAGCTGAGACTGCATTATTGCTCACCAGCCTGGGTGACAGAGTGAGACTTGTCTCAGAAAAAAAAAAAAGAAAAGAATTGCCTGGAGAACTCCTGCTAGACTGAGGGAGAAGGGTTAGGGAATACCAGGGGGATGGAGGTTGTGCTGGAGGAGTGGGTGACTGGAGGAAGGGAGGGGCCTGGGAGCCGTAGGAATGCCTGGAAGCTGGGAATGGCAAGCCGTAGGTCTTGGTTCACTCTTGCCTTGGTTCACTCTCCTCGACTATGCTATGGTGAGAACCTTCCTGCCCCAGCTACTTTGCCAAGAGAAAGGGCTCCGTGAAAGCAAAACTGACCTCTGTATTAAGGTCAGGAGCACAAAGGTGTAAACTGAAGGGAGAGGGAACTCCTGCTCACCCCCTGTCCTTGCCAAGTGAGATGGAAGCAGGACACACAAGCCGAAAGCCTCCTGTGTTGTCTCCCCAGGCACTGACTCACTGACCCTGCCATGCCGGCACCGCTGCTCCCGCTGCTGCTGCGATTGCTGTTGTCCCGCCTGCTGCTGCCTGCTGCCCGCCTGGCCCGCCAGTACCTCCTGCCCCTGCTGCGCCGATTGGCCAGGCGCCTGGGCTCCCAGGACATGAGAGAGGCTTTGCTGGGCTGTCTGCTGTTTATTCTCAGCCAGCGACACTCGCCAGATGCTGCGGAGGCCTCAAGAGTGGACCGCCTGGAGAGGAGGGAGAGGTTAGGCCCCCAAAAGTGAGGCTACAAGTCCTGACAGCAGCTGTACCCCTCAGAATACTTTATTTTGGTGTAAAATAATCCTGGCACCAGGACTGACCAAAGGCTGCCCGGTGGAAAGAAGATATAGTAAGGGCTGTGCATGAGAGGGATCTGCCACAGACATGCCTCTCCACTCCCGACAGAAATGTCTTTCTGGAAGAATGCCTTGCATCTAGCAGAAAACTGACCACTGCCCCTCTCCTCCAGCTGTTCTTCCCAAAGACCACTCCTAATCACCTCTGCCCTCAAGTGGAAGGGGAAATAACACCCTACCCCTGCCCTCCCTGCAAATGAGAACATCAAGGTTCCCAGTGCTTAACTGAGAGACAAGTGACAATTTAGCGGAGAGGCAAGGTTTGAATCCAGACTGTCTTCCAGACTCAGGACCTACCTTAAAAGAATATCTGAGTTCCCTATGGAGGCAGATCTGCCTGCAAAGCCCAGCACTCAGCAAGTGCTCAATAAATATTTGATTTGAATTCTTTCTATGCCTTTGAAAGTCTAATCACCCAGACTGTGGCCCTGCAAAAGTTTAACCTGGCCTCGCACCTGGTGGGGGTGAGGGAGAGGAGAGACGGACAATCGTACAAGAGTGCTACCTATTCTACTGTGGTCTCAGTCCTCACAGCCTGGAAGTTGTTTCCCCTAAGTTTCGGTCAGTATGTCACACTGTGACCCAGAAATGGCTCTAGTGTATCTAGGAGGAAGTTTGGCTGGCTAGCTCACAGTAGGGAAGAAAATGCCCTCCAGGGAGTTTGAGGATTTCTCAGCTAGCGGTGGTGGGAACAGAGTGATCTGTTTGCTAAGAAACGGGGTGGGAGGCCACCCAGGGAGGCAGTGCAGAAGTGCATGCCCTTGAGAGTCACCCCACCCTAGAAGTGACTAGGGGTGTGTGAGTGATCTTACGAACTGGCTTCATTATGTCCTCCTCCCCAGTAGGAGGCCCTTCAGGGGTCAAATAGGAGTTAGATACATTTGCATCCCAGCCTCCGGATAATTTGTTTATTGTTCCCAGGCAATAATCCTTCCTCTCTGGGTGAATGTTGGGCTCTATCTAGGTCCCGAGGAGGACAGTGAGGAGCACAGGACCCAGTCAGGTCCTCGTCCTCTCCCCACACCCGTCAGAAGCCTGGGTTGGGGAAGAAGTGAGTCCCGAGCTGTGCACCCCACCCCCAGCCCTGCGGGGCTTCCTGCCAGCCGCACGCCGTCCCTCCCCACCCCTCCCCATCAGCTTCCTTCGGGAGCCCTCAAAGCCACACTTGCTCCCGGGTCTCAGGAAGGCGACCTAGAGGGAGGGGCAGGGAGAAGGGGGTCCGAGGCTCTCGGCCCCAACCCCCTCCCTTCCTGAAGCCTCGGGTGCCCAAAGGCGCCGGCCGCGCGTCCAAGCCCGACGGGCCTCTCCCACTGAGTCGGCTCCGGTCTCCCCGCCCCTGAGCCGCGCGGGCTGGAAGGAGCCGGCTGCTTTGCGCCGAGTGGGCCCTGGGGTCGCCTGTGGCAGCCTCTCTTCCGCCCGGCGGTACGCACCGGTCAGGTCCGGCGCGAGCTGCGCCCTTCAGTAGTGGGTATGGCCCCATCCCCGAGATGAGGAGGGAGAGAACCAGGGGCCCCCGGGCCTGGGAATTTCCGTCCCCCGCCAAGTCCGGATGCCCGCTCCAAAGACTCAGCAGGTGCGTGGGGCGGGGCGGCGGGGGGCCTGGCTGGGTGGGGTGAGGGCGAGGTCTGCGCTGTTCTCACGCTGCCCTGCGGGACCGGCGGCTGGTAGGGGAACCTGCTGGGCTATGGCGTCTCAGTGGAGTCGGAATCTTTGGTTTCTGGATGCGGGGCTACTTTTCTGGGACTTTGAAGGCCATATTAGATGACTGCCTCCCCAAACTCCCCCAACCCCTTACAGATGACCCGGGAACATAGGATAGGGAGAAGAGATCTGGGAAGTTAAGCTAGAAGACCAGCCTAGATCTAGCTGAACAAACAATTAAGTCTTTCTGAATCCTGATCCATTACCCACCCTGTGAACACACTGTCTTTACTTAGAATTTTAATGGTTTATTCATCATGGAGTCTTAAAAAAAAAAAAAAAAGAGTCTTGCTCTGTTGCTCAGGCTGGAGGGCAGTGGTGCGATCACAGCTCACTGCAGCCTCGACTTAATGGACCCAAGCCATCCTCCAGCGATCCTCTCACCTCGGCCTCCCAAAGTGCCGGGACCAAAGGTTTGCGTCAACAATATGGAAGAGACAGAGTCTCCCTATGTTGCCCAGGCGAGTCTTGAACTCCTAAGCTCAAGTGATTCTTCCACCTCAGCCTCCCAAAGTGCTGGGATGACAGATGTGAGCCTTGATTTGTAGACATTGCATTAAAACTTATCTTTGTCACAGTAATATTTATCTTTTTTTATGACAGGACAATTGACAGTAATACACACACACACACACACACACACACACATTTTTTTTTTTTTTGAGACAGGGTTTCACTCTGTTGCCCATGCTGGGGTGCAATGGCAGGGTGATGGCTCACTGCAGCCTCAACCTCTTGGGCTCTGGTGATCCTCCCACCTCAGCCTCTGGAGTAGCTGGAACAACAGGCACGAACCACCATGTCTGGCTAATTTACTTTAATTTTTTTGTAGAGATGGGGTCTCACTATGTTGCCCAGGCTGGTCTTGAACTCCTGAACTCAAGCGATCCTCCCATCTCGACCTCCTAAAGTACTGAGATTTCAGGCATGAGCCACCACTCCTGACCTAAAATTTGTCTTGATTAATGAGTTTTTTGGCTCCCTATTACATTTTACATCTCTGGCAAGTGCCTCACTGGCCTCTACCCAGACCCAGCCCTGTCACAAGACCATGGAGATAAAGTCACAAAAACAACTGAGAACATAGTCATGAGCCATGTGCTGGTTACCAACCCCCAGGCCAAGCAAACACACCTCCAGCAAACACAGATGGCTTGTTGGTGACAGCTGAGAGGACACAGGTCTGGGTAGAGAGAGGGGACTGTGTGTGAGGTGGTGAGGCATGCTTGGGGCCTGCTAAGTGGGGGAGGGAGTCTGGAGCAAGCCACAGTACCATATAGGGTGGTGGATAAGGTGGAGAGTAGGGGTGCAGCAGGACTAACCCTTCCCACCCCACTCCTTCAACAGGGACCTGTGGGAGCTCAGGGAGGGAGAGAGGCCAGAAGACCAGGCAGAGGGTGAAGAGATCTGGCAAGGCCTGGCTAGAAAAACTCCAGGCAAGGCCCTTGTGAGTTAGGGCTCCCAGGGCTGTCCAGCAGGGGGCCCCGGCACCCAGCAACCTCCTCTGCTTGGGAGGTGGCTACAGAGGGGTGTGGGTGCTGGCTAGGAGCCCAGCAGGGCTCATGCCAGATGGACTTCTCTCCAACAATAACAGCCCTGGCTGTTGCCATCAGCTAAGCCAGCAGGGACCCAGTGTGGGTGGGGAGAGGAACAGCCTTCCCTAGTCTGGCCTGGGACCCTCACCACTTCCCTCCAGTTTTCTTCCACCCCCAACCCCCTTTGTACACAATTGCAGCCACTGGCCCCCAGCCTGGTCATGCCTAGCAGATCTTCTGACCACTAGGCCTACCACCCCCACAGACTCAGAAACCAGGAAAGGAAGGTGGGGAGGGAGGAACGGGTCAAAGCAGAGGGGAGAGGAGGGCTAGGAGAGGAAGAGAGAGAGACTGGACAAACATGAGGGTGGGAATTTGGGGGCCATGGACAGACATGAAGCCACTCTCAAGTCATGCGGCAGTGCCTAGAAAAATACCACTGAGACTCATCTTCCTGCCCTCTGGTTAGGGCTGGCGGGAATGGGAGGATGTAAGGGAGGGTTGGGAAGGAATATGTGTCATCTCTGTGGGGCATGGAAACAGAAGGCTGGGGACACCCATTCTGGAGTAGCTTGGGGAGAGCCACTGACCCTAAGTAGAAAAGCTACCTCTCTCCTTAGGGTCCTGTTTCTCTGGGGACAGCGTAGGACTACCTTATCCTTATGATGTGAGTACTGCTAGTTGTTAATCAGTGTCTGTGGCTTCTCTAGGAAACAAGCCCTTCCTGTCAGTGGGCTTGGGGTGGACAGCGTGGGTTGGATTTTCTCCTCAGGACCTTTCCAGCCTTTGGATCATCCTCCAGCACTGGGTGGTGCTGGAAGGGCAGGGAGTGCCCCCCACCCCATGCCATTTACTGCCCAACCAAGAAAAAGGGCCTCCTTCCCCCTCCCTTGGAGAAATGCACTGGACCACCTCTCAGCATACCCACCCCTTCCACATACTAGCGAAGCACGGACTCAGCAACGCTCCTGCCTCTCAGGAGTATCTCCGACTGGGACAATAGAATTCACTCAGGATGTAAGGCTGTTCCTGGCTTTCTCTCTTCCCATCTCCAGCTGTGCCTCGGTTTTCCAAAGTGCTGGATTAAGAAGGGGTGAATTATGAGGGGGCTGCAGGGCTGTGCCCCGCCCCCCTCCGCGCAAACACTAGCACGAGGCAGAGCCATACACCCCCTCCAAGTCAAAGTTGTGGGTGGTGTGGTGTTTGCACGTCTGTGGCTGGGACTGGATGTGTCAGGGATGGGAAAACCCATCATGCTGGTCACAGAACAGAGGAGGTGGGGACAGAAGCAGTTTTGAAGGAAAAGAAGAGGAGGGGGCCTGAAAGAAAGAAGGGGGAGTTAAAGGGAGCGCGCTGGGAGGAAAAAGGTGCAGTGTGGAGGAAGCGCGGCGTGGGCGGGGCTCGGGGAGGGATAGCGGAACATCTGAGGTGGAGTGGGCCAAGGGGGGCTTCGGAGCCGGTCTGAGCAGCGGGTGTGTAGATGGAACAGTCTTGAGATAGATTTTCATGGGAGTTTGTGCAGGTCCCCAATGTGGGGCTGTACCCTCCAGCCCCATGTACCCCATACGATGGACAGCCTTGGTATGGCAGGGCCCAGAGAGGTCCTATTTACTGAAATAACACGACCACGCGGCCCTGGGGGCGCAGGGGCTCGGGGTGGGGTCGCAGAGGGCGAGGAGGCGCCGCGGGGTGGCAGGGAAGGACAGGGGGCGGGGCCGCGGGCGCGCGGCTGTCGCGGAGGTGGCGGTAGGCGCGGGTTGGGGCGGGGCCCAGGGGAGGGCGGGTTTGAATGTGCCCTGGCGGGCGCGGGAAGCTGCAGGGAGAGCGCAGATCTCAGCGCGGGAGCCGTGCTTCTCCGGCAGGTGCTGCCCGGGGCGGGGACTGGGGACGGCAGGGGCGTGATGCCGCTGCTTGCCTGCCACGAGGGCCGGGAGGCCAGGCGTTATGCGCGGCCCTTATGAGGGACGCCGGTGGGGCCCCAGGGTGGAGCGTGCGGAGCCGCGCAGCACGTGGCGCGCACGGGCTGGGGAGCCGGAGGACCCTGCGGGGACCGGGACCCAAGCGGGGCTGGGTGGCCTGTCACCTGGGCCTAAAACAGTCTGCCGTCATGGTGACCTCCGCACGGGGCAGGCGAGTGGACCGGTGAACCCGAGCGATCTGGTCGGTATCAGGGAGGGGCTGCCTGCTGACTGAGCTGGCGGAGGGGGATGGGGATGGGGTTGGAGGCTCGCGAGCTGAGATGCGGGGCTGTGTCTTTAACCCCGGGCTTTTACTGGCCAAACTCGTGTCCCTGGCGTCTCCTTCCTGGGCGCGGCCTCATTTACTGATTTACTGTGAGAGTAAATAAGAGGGCGAAGACACACACACCTCGGCTTTCCTTACAGGAGAGAGCACTCATAGGTCAAGGCTGGCTCCAACCCTGCCCTCACACCTCTAGAGATCTCTCTCCAGCCCAGTAGTCCCTTTGCCTGCTCCTCTTGGCAGCCTACTCCTCTCCAGACCCTCCAACTTTCCTTCTGCTTGTGTAAGCTCCCCATGCCAGAATGCATGTGATGGGATGAGGCTGAGGTGCCCACACTCAAGTCGGGCTGGGAATAAGCCTGATCTCCACCTCATTTTTCTCTTTAGTTGGATCAGAGTTCCCCCCACCTCCCAGTCTGCAGGCCTAGCTAAGAAGCAGCTGTTATACCTCTCTATCCATCCCCAAAAGAGCCTAGAGTAACTTGAACGTTGAATTTAGATCCTAGCTCCTCCACTCTTGAGCTCTGTGACCTCAGGCAAGTGACTCAACCTCTCTGAACCTCAGCTGGCCCCATCTGTTTAGTGCTACTACTGGCTCATGCTTGGTTGTGAGGGAAAGATGAGAGATCTGCAGGTAGTGGCTGGACCTGTATGAGATCCTGGGAATGGAGAACTGCAGGAGAGGTGTTGGGAGTCTGGGGCAGGGAGGTACTCAGTTTGGTGGCTGCTTTCACCTCAGCAGGCCAAAGCATGGCTGGAGGGACACCAGATGCTCTGAGCTGGTGTCAGATCCCTGGTTGCCGCTGACCAAAGGCAGACAAGCAAAACACGAGAGCTGGCCAGCTGAATGTTAGGATATGGGTAGGAGGAGAGGGCTCCCCGTGGAGTTGAATTGTGCCCAAGACTGGGATGAGGGCTCCTGAGAACAGAGAGAGCAGGGATGTTGCTGGGGAGAGGGCAGAAATACATACTTCTCTAAGAAAACTGGCCTGAGCCAGTTTTACCCAGGAGAAAGGGAGCTGATCCCCCACCCCAGTCCCCCATCTGGTTTGAAGCTGCACCCGGTCTTAACTGCCAGGAACCTTGCCTGTGGGGTGGGAGCGGAGTACAGGGCATGCGGGTATGAGGTAAGCACCTAGAGGAAGGGTCCCTCCTACCTAATAGAAAACCTGAGCCCTGAGCCTTTCCCCGCCCCCACCCAAGTAAAGACCTCTTGCCTCCATCCCTCTAGAAAATTTAAATGTGGTTATTCACCACTCTGGTGCCTAGGACAGTGCCTGGCTGGCATGCAGAGGTCCTCAGTAAATATTTTTGAAGTGGTGATTGGAGGAATCCTTCTGCCTCCATCTGGAGGTGTGTGGGCCAAGGGGCCAAGGAAGACCTCTGAGAACTTGGAGTTTCTCCAGGGAGGGTTGAGAGGAGCTATGGGGAGGTGGGAAAGCCCATGAGGGTTTCAGGGTGCCCAGCTGCCTGTTTGTCTGAGTGGAGCCTGGAGCATGGCTGCACCTACGAGAGCTCCCCTGCTGAGACTCCCTGTTCTCTTATCTCCTGAGCTACAGGGGTGGCTTTTTATCTCCTGGGTGTGCTTCTGCTTCTTTGCTTGCAAGGCTTCTCAGAATGGGGCCCCATGAAGCCTGAGGGATTCTCTCCTGATACGCCCTGTGCCACCTTTTTCATTCTGGATCTGCACCCAGGAGCCCGTGGACAAGGCCCACTGCCTGATCCTAAACTAGGAGCACCTTCTAGGGACTTCCCAGGCCCAATCTTCTCCAACCCTTCTGCTGGCCAGTCTGGGCACCTGGTGAGTTCCCAGAAAGGGAGGAAGGGGAAGCTGTCCTTACCCAAAACAGCAAGGCCTGGGCCAGCTGGGCCTGAGTGTGGGGGATGTGCCAGCACACATCTGCCTGGCTTCGCATGCCAGCCAATGGGAAAGCTGGTTAATCTGGTGCCAGGGGGTCTCCCCCTACACAAATGAGGAGCAGGAGAGGGAAACTGAGGGAGGATAGGAGATTTGGGATTTGCCCCTCTACTCTTATTTTCAAAGTCACTTTGAGCAAGGGTAAGAGGACAGGAGCCTGTGACCGAGAGGAACTAAGGGGGTACTAGGTGACCCTGGGGTCAGGACTTGGAGGATGGAGAGGGGCCTGGCTAGGCTGTGGGAAGGGCTGTTCCCCCCCATCCATTATGAAATATTTTCCTGGAAAACCAGCCAGCAACTAGGAAGCCCCTGGGCAGTGGCTGGAAAGGAAGATTAAGGTGCCACCAGCAGAGAGGCTGGAATCTGGGGTGCCTCTAGGGAGAGGACAGCCCCACTCTAACCATGAATCCAAGGCCTCCCAGGGAGGGTGGAGAGACCAGACTTGCGGAGAGGGATCTGGGAGCCTCTGGCTTGGCCTCAGTCATCGTCACTGTTGTGGCTGCTGCAGCTCTGCCTGCTGTGTCCTTCCTCCTTCCCCCAACCTCTTTGCTGTGTCTCCTCCATTCCTTTCCCTCCTTCCTTTGTCATCACTGTCCTGACCCTTCTCGTCCTCTTGCCTGCCTTCTTTGACTGTCTTTCCCTCCCTCCCATCATCCTTCCTCCTCCTTCCCTCCTGCTCTCCACCCTCCTGTTTCCCAGCTTATAAACTGCTTCGCCTGCTGGATAAAAATAGCGGTGGCAGCGGCCAGGCTGGGAGCAGGTAGAGCCTGAGCAGGCAGAGGGGCCGCGCAGGACTGGCCTGCTGGGCCAGGGGGCTGGTGGGGGTCAAGTTGAGTGGGTCCAGAGGGGTTCCTGGTGGACTCTGCGGCTGGCCTGTTCTGTCAGCCCTGCCCCCTCTCACCCTAAGAGCCTGAGGAGGCCTGTGGCAGGGCAAAGACAGGGCCTCACACTGTTCCTGCCCCCAGCAGGCCCCTGAGGGAGGAAGCTGTCAGCCAGACAAAACCGAGAACACCATCGCCATGACAACCAGTCACCAGCCTCAGGACAGGTAAGGGGTAGGGGGCTGGGCTGTGGATCCAGGGAATGGGTTTTCAGAGAGGTGGGTGCAGTGTTCTTTGAAATTGAGGGTTGCCACTGCTGGCTGCCCTTCCAGCCAGGTAGCTATGAGTCCGGTCTACATCAGGGTGGGTACCCCATGTGCCTTGGCTGGGTCCTGGTGGGAGTGTCTTTGGGAGGGCAGGGTGGGTGGGCAGCAGTCCCGCCCTGGCCTGTCAGTGTTTCCACTGTTGCTCTCCACCAGTCAGCGGCTTCCGGCTCCTCCCGCCACCACTGTGGGGAGATACTTGGCTGTACCCCTCCTTTCAGCTCACTTCTGCAGAACCGCCCTGGGCCTCTGCCTTAGATGACCTGGCCCTCCTGGTTCTTGGTCTGATCTTCCTCTCAATTCCCCACCTCTGGAGCTTGTGAACTCCCAATCAAGTTAGACTTGCAGTTATGACTGTGAATATGTGTTTTGAAAGAAGAGGTTGTTGCTTAATTCAATTTCTCAAAGGGATCTGGGACCCAAGAAGGCTGAAGGAGGTGATGCCTGAGATCCCAAACTCCTTCCAAGTGTCAGGCTCTGTCTTTCCTTCCAGCTCAGGCCCCTGAAACCCATCACGTTCTGCCCTACCCACCCCATCTCCCTCCCGTGCCAAAGGCTCTGAAACTAGCCGCTTGGCCTGTTGGGGCCTTGAGCATGTAGCTTCATCTCTCTGGGACCATTTTTCCACCTGTAAAATGGAGCTAAAAGTATCCACGTCTCAGGAAGTAGATCTAGAAGTGATGGAATTTAAGGAGGCACGGCAGTAAGTACAGGCCCCAGGGTGCTCTGTCCTCCATTCCCAGACTGCCTGCCCACTCTGTCCTCACCTCCGCTCTCCTGCCGGCTGTTCCCTGAAGCCCCTCGCCGTCTCCATTTGCCTTGTTGCACAGCTCGCTCATTTCCCAGTGCCACCCCCACCCTGATCCTCTGTTCTGTATGACTTTGGGAGTTTTTCCTTCTGCTCTAGGGCTCTGAACCAAGCCTTTAGCTTCTCCAAGGGAAGCGTGTATGTGAGGGGGTTGGGGGGGCTGCAGTTGGCATTAAACCCAACTGTTCACGTGGGGGCTCCACCACACCATCCCTGTGTGAGGCCTGCAGCGGTCCAGGCTCCTGCAGCCTGGCCAGGCTTGCCTTCTCACTGCCTTGGGCTTTATCCCTGCCATTGCTGAAGAGAGTTGGTGTTGGCTCTAGGGAGGGTGGTGCAAACCCCTCTGGAGATCTCCATGGGCCTGCTGGGGTTGCTCAGCTTTCAGGCAAGCCTACCTGGGAAAAGCTGGCCTGATCTGGAAGGGCCTTGAGGTGTAGGGCTTGGGGCATTGCCCTGGCCAAAGGTGGGCAGCCCTTATTTACACCCTGAGGCCCAGATGACCTCCAGTGGCCCCATACCTCCTGGCCTGGCCTGGGTGATATGAACTACTAAGTTCTGTTGGCCAGGGAGAGAGCGTGCTCTAATGCCCCTGTCACAGCTGCCCTGAGGAACCCCGCCCCGCCTGCCCCTCTAGGTCCAGGAATAGTATGGGAGTTTCTCGACCTCAGAATCCTCTTTAGGGGAGTCACACAGTCCCTGACCAGACAGCATAATTATTTCCAGCCTGCCTCGTGGGGGCGGAGGACGCTTGCTATTGCTTTCTCACTCATCCCTTCAGCAGGAGTTCCAAACCATCTCCGGATGTGTGGGGCACCCTGGTTCCCACCCTGCAGGGTTCCCTGAGCCTTCCAGGATGAGAGCCATGGTCCTGTCAGCCATTCATTCAGTCCTGTGACCCTGGCCCCCCCCACCCACGAATTCCAGTGGACCACGTGCCCTTTTCTCTCCACCAGACCCACACCCATAAGAGGACACATGCACATGGACGTAAACACAGGTGCCCTGTGCCCCAGGACCTAGAGAGACTGACAACAGACGGGGTTCCCTGGGGCTCATCGAGGAGGGGGGCAGGGTAGTTGCGTCACTTGGCCCCTCTCCTCCTCCATTGCAGATACAAAGCTGTCCTGGCTTATCTTCTTCATGCTTGGTCTGGGAACACTGCTCCCGTGGAATTTTTCATGACGGCCACTCAGGTGAGGCTGGAGGGAATGGGCTCCAGGGGGCATGTCCACTGTGCATGCAGGACCTGACTCTGTGCCCATAGGCACAAGCAGAGAGATTTCAACATGCCTCTCTACAACCCCTGCAGTTATTCACAAGCCGCCTGGACATGCCCCAGAATGTGTCCTTGGGCTCTGCTGAACTGAGGCAAGGACGCCCAGGGCATTAGCTGCCCCTGCAGCACCCTTGCCTGAGAGGACCTCTCTCAGTGCATCTTCACAATGTCATGACCCTGTGTGCCATGCTGCCTCTGCTTCTCTTCACCTGCCTCAACTCCTTCCTCCACCAGAGGTGAGCGCCCACCCCCTCCCCAGCCCCAGCCTGACCCTCACTGCGTCCTGCAGCCTCTTTGGCTGACCCCCAGCCTGCCCACTTTGTCCTCTGCCCCCTTGGCCTCTCCTGGCAGGATCCCCCAGTCCGTACGATCCTTGGCAGCCTGGTGGCCATCCTGCTGGTGTTCCTGATCACTGCCATCCTGGTGAAAGTGCAGCTGGATCCTCTGCCCTTCTTTGTCATCACCATGATCAAGATCATGCTCATTAACTGTAAGCTGGGCTTCGAGGGGGCCTATGGGAGGAGGCCTACCCACCTACCCCCACTCTTCTTTCAGACCACTGTCAGCGAGAGAGGAGCCCACCCCTCTACCTGGAGGGAGTGGATGCTGTGAGCAGTTGGGATTCAGATGCCTGAGTGGGCCTGGATTGGGTCTGGGAGGGAGCAGAGAGAAGGGCAGCTTAGCCCCAAGACTCACTGAGAGTAAAGTAGGAATGACAAGGACCTGTCTTCCTGGGCACCCCTAACTGCCAGCCCTAGCTCCCCTGCTCATGCCCACCCTGTTTCCCCAGCATTTGGTGCCATCCTGCAGGGCAGCCTGTTTGGTCTGGCTGGCCTCCTGCCTGCCAGCTACACAGCCCCCATCATGAGTGGCCAGGGCCTAGCAGGCTTCTTCGCCTCCGTGGCCATGATCTGCGCTATTGCCAGTAAGTCCTGCTGTCCACCTGCCCAGTGCCCTGGTGTGGTGGGGAGAGGGGATGGGGCCTGTCTCTGATCACTGATACCATCCCAGGTGGCTCGGAGTTATCAGAAAGTGCCTTCGGTTACTTTATCACAGCCTGCGCGGTCATCATTTTGAACATCATCTGTTACCTGGGCCTGCCCCGCCTGGTGAGCAAATGGAGGGAGCTGGGGTTTGGGGTATAGGGGTCGGGGATTCCAGACCAAGGGTGTTCTGAGGCCAAAACCTGGGGAGGCTAGGATTCTGGAGATTCTGCCTCTGAATCCACCTCCCTCGTCTTCCTTACTTGATAGGAATTCTACCGCTACTACCAGCAGCTCAAGCTCGAAGGGCCCGGGGAGCAGGAGACCAAGTTGGACCTCATTAGTAAAGGTCCGAAGAGCCTGAGGAAGCTGGGGTGGAGGATGGTATACCGAGGGGGTGCAGCATGAGCAAAGAGGACAAGGTGAGTGCACTGTGTTAGTTGGCAGCCCTGAGCCAGAGGGACTGGGGTGGGGAGAGGGGGACAGTAGGAAATAAGGGCCAGCAAAGATAAAATGGGGACAGATGCTGGATACCTTGAATGCCCGAGGTGTTTGGGACTAAAGGCAGTGGGAAGCGATTTCAGATTCTTCAGCAAGGAATAACATGACCTCAGGCTCCTGGGAGAGGCCAGGCCCTGGGGCTTGAGCTGTAGGAATTTGGAGGCGAGGTCTGGGTTAGGGTTAGGGTATGGCTGGGACTGGTTAAGGAGGCGTCTACCTCCAAGTAATCCCTGTCCCTTTGGGGAATGTTTGTGTTGTCTCCTGTTGCTCTGTCCTCTGAAGAGTCTTCCACAACCTGTCACCCTGCAGGAGAGGAGCCAAGAGCAGGCAAAGAGGAGTCTGGAGTTTCAGTATCCCACTCTCAGGCCACCAACGAAAGCCACTCTATAAAAGCCATCCTAAAAATGTACGTGGGGCAGGTTCTCCTACTCTCTACCCCTGTCCTGTGTCTCCTTTTGCTCCCTCCGCCTGCCACCCATCTCCTCCCTTTCTGAACGGAGAGTGGTCACTCCTGGATTCTTCTGTGTGCGTGTGTGCCTATACACAAGTGCCAGCGGTGGGGATTCCTAGTTCTTTAAAGCACAGCCACCATGAAGACACAGGGGCCTGGGTGACTCTACCCCTTCTATCTAGATCTCAGTCCTGGCTTTCTCTGTCTGCTTCATCTTCACTATCACCATTGGGATGTTTCCAGCCGTGGCTGTTGAGGTCAAGTCCAGCATTGCAGGCACCAGCGCCTGGGGTGAGGATGCCACAGGTTCCCAGAATGGGAACAGACAGGATTTTGAGCTGGGCTAGAAGTGGGGAAGAGAGGGAGCCTGGGTCACCTCCCCATTTCCTGAGTTCATTTGCCCTTCCCTGGGCTGGAAGCATCTTCTCCATTTATGGAGAAGCTGAGGCCCAGTGAAGGTTAGGCTTCTTATACCTGCCTCTTTGAGCCTGATAACCACCCATTCATCTTCTCTTCCAGAACATTACTTCATTCCTGTGTCCTGTTTCTTGACTTTCAATATGTTTGACTGGTTGGGCCGGAGCCTCACGGCTGTATTCATGTGGGTAAGTGGAGGAAGAGGGCCACAGGCCCCTGGGGGAAGTCAGAGTCCAGCCTGAGACCCAGAGAGGAAACCCAAGAAAGTCTAGTGGTAAGGGGACCATTTATTTTAATCGAGGCATAATGTATGTAGAGTTAAGTACAAGTCTTAAGTGTACAACTTAATGAATATATATATGCATACCTGCCCAGATCGAGATGTAGCATATTTCTAGCACTCTAGAAGCCTCCACTGTGCCCCTTTCAAGCAGTAACCCCCTAAGAAGAACCAGGCTCTAATGTTTTAGTTCAGGTCCAGAGGGGCCCCAGATGGCTCCCTGGGGGGCTGGCTGTGCCCTGGGTTGGCGGCCTGGGCTGAGGCCCTGCCTGGTGCCCACAGCCTGGGAAGGACAGCCGCTGGCTGCCAAGCCTGGTGCTGGCCCGGCTGGTGTTTGTGCCGCTGCTGCTGCTGTGCAACATCAAGCACCGCCGCTACCTGACTGTGGTCTTCGAGCACGATGCCTGGTTCATCTTCTTCATGGCTGCCTTCGCCTTCTCCAACGGCTACCTCGCCAGCCTCTGCATGTGCTTTGGGCCCAAGTGAGTGGGGCTGCGCAGGGAACTTGGTGGCATCAGGAGCTAGAGTTCCAGTGGAGGACACTCAGTAGAGGGAGGGCAAAAGGAGAGTCCTTACTCCCAGAGCTGAGAGGAGGGATGGCTCAGGAGGGGCTCCTAGGCTGAAGAGATAGTGACTGTAGTGGAGGGGGGTACCCAGTCTTACTTGGGTGGAGGTGGAGGAGAGGGGCTTGCAGAAGACAACCCCACCATACATATTCCCTCAAGGAGGAAAAGCCAGATTGGGGCTAGGCAGCTAGGAGGGGCTGATCAGCTGAATGAGGTCCCACAGTCAAGTCGCCCCACCCCACCCCTCCTTCCGCCCAGAGGCCCTGGGCTTGGGTACAGCCATTCTGAGGTAGCCTTTCCCTTCCTTCCTCCCTCAGGAAAGTAAAGCCAGCTGAGGCGGAGACTGCAGGAGCCATCATGGCCTTCTTCCTGTGTCTGGGCCTGGCCCTGGGGCTGTCTTCTCCTTCCTGTTCCGGGCAATTGTGTGACCAAGGATGGACAGAAGGACTGCTTGCTTCCCTGCCTCCTGCCCCTTCCTTCTGCCAGGGTTGGGCCCGAATGATCTGGAGGTTTTTTTTCTTCTAGCTGACTTCTGCTTCCCACGGCTTGTGCTGGGCCCAGATGTCCAGGCCCTGGGACAGTGGGATGGACAGTGGGGACATTGTGGGCTTGGGGCTCAGAGTCAAGGGATGGGGTGCAGCCTCGGCATCTGCTTGAGTTTCTCCATACTTGGCTCTGACTGATCCCTGTGCAGGTCAGTGGAGGCTCTTGGGCTCGGAGAACACGTGTTTGTGTGTGTGTGTCTGTGTCTGTCAGACTGTCTGTCTGTCCCAGGGGTGGCTAGAAGCTGGGTCTGGCCGTTGTATAGTCCGATCTGAGATGCCCCCTCCCTCCTTTCTGCCCCATGTTCTCTCCATGTCCCCCTCCCAGCTCCCCATGCCCAGTTCCTACCCATCATGCACCGTGTACAGTTGCCATGTTACTGCCTTTTAAAAATATTTGACAGATACCAGGTGCCTTCAGAGGCTCTCTGATTAAGTAAACCTTTTTTGTTTTTTTCTCCATGGCTCCCTGTGTCCTCCATCCGTGGCTTCATGCCCTGGGAGGGTAGAGGGCTGTCAGCCTGAATCTGGGAGATGAGCATGACCCAGCTGGGCCCTGGCCAGGACTGGGCCTGGGTCCAAGGGGAAGGTAGGGGTAGTCCTCCTGGCCTCAGAGGGGCTGCAATGCCCCCTACTGGGTCACAGGGGAGGGACAGGCCTGGAACCAGGATACCAAGACTGTTAGCCAACACTGAGAAAGAACAGGTTTTTCTTTGCTGTTTCATTCATTCTTTCAGAGGACGGAGGATGGAGATAGCACTCCATCTTTCCTTTGTCTTCATTGCCACCCCCTCCACTCTGTCCCCAGCCCCAGCTATGAACTCTACAAAACTGGCCAGCTACTGGCTGCACTCCCACACCACCAGGCAGGAAGAGACTGAGGCCTCAGGGTTCTCCCCTACCTGGCACCCAGCCCTGACACCAAAGCTCAGCCTGCCAGACTTCCTGGGGAACAAGGGCCTGTGTCTGCATGGTGAAACCAACCCTCCCCTTCTCAACCCAAACTCTGGCCTATTGAGGAGGGGTCGATGTGGAACTATGGGAGAGTCTCAGTGGAGGGGCCCTACCAGTGGACCCCCATCTCAAGAATGACCTCCTGACTGGAAGTGGGACCTGAGCTCTGGCCACAGTGCAGCACCCCCATAATCCACACCCCCTACCCTCTCACGTGTCTCAGACTCCTCCCAGAAAGCAGAAGACATTCCCGAATTCTCAGCCTGGGCTGTTCACTCGCCCTGGCCAGCAGATGGCTACGGAGTTGGCACCTTGCTCAGACTTCCTTTCTCACAAGAGTTTAATTTAATTGAGAGCTTCAGGCCTCATTAAGGGCTGTTAGTGCATTTTGAAGGCTCTTTGATGAGCTCTGCAATCCTAATGGGGTAGCTAAGTATACCATGCACTTGGAACTGAAGTTCATATGCTATTAATCATTTGTCAGACCACAGTATATATCTGCCATGCTGGAAAACAAAGCATTCCTTTTGGATCGAGTTCAAAAGCTGAGGGGTTCCCTGAGTATCCTTCCCCTGTCTACAGTGCTGTTGGGCAGTGAGTCAAGCTGAACATATAACTGAGCTCTTATCCTCAGTCCTCCCATTGAACCCAAGCCCCAAAAGCCCTATTGGTTTGCTTCGTTAGCACCAGCAGTGCCTTACTGTCCTGTAGGTCCTCCTGAGGTTGCTTTACCACCTCCTGCCTGACCCACTGGGACTTCCTCCCAGGTCTCTTCCAGTCCATTCCATACATGGACACAAGAATAATCTGAAAGCAGATTGGGCGTGGTGGCTCACGCTTGTAATCCCAGCACTTTGGGAGACTGAGGTGGGTGGATCATGAGGTCAGAAGTTCAAGACCAGCCTGGCCAAACATAGTGAAACCCCGTCTCTAGTAAAAATACAAAAATTAGTCTGGCATGGTGGCGCACACCTGTAATCCCACCTACTCGGGAGGCTAAGGCAGGAGAATTGCTTGAACCAGGGAGGCGGAGGTTGCAGTGAGCCAAGATCGCACCACTGCACTCCAGCCTGGGCAACAGGGCAAGATTCTGTCTCAAAAAAAAATCTGAAAGCAAATCTATCGGTGCTGCTTGCTCTCTGGAGCATGCACCTGTGTCCTGAGTGTTTTCTGATCACCACCACTGACAGCCAGTTTGTGCAATTTTTTTGCACCTCAGAACTTTCATAACTTTGTGACTTGTCTTCTAGCATAATTCTTATCGTAACTCCAGCTATGGGACTGTCATGTTTTTGAGATTATGACCTGCTTTTTACTCCTGTTTGGCTTTTCAAGCTATGTTATACCTGGCTCCCAGAGGTACTTGGCAAATATTGGCTTGACCGCACATGCTTATCCCAAGGTGGAATTCATCTCCACAATCTTCACATGCCTGACTCCAGCTGTGTGGCAGCATGCCTCGATTGTGCCCCTGGGATAGAGATGGGGATGTTAAGTAGGTTCCTCAACCCCAGCACTGATTTGAGAGGAAAACCCATGTAGGATACAGTTCCTTTCTCCCTTCCTGTACTTCAGTTGATGTTGAAGGAAATTACTAGAATATTTTCTCCCCAAAATTTAACGCAAATGCTAAAAAACGTCAGTCTCTTCATTTCCATTCTCCTGACCTAATTGTTTTCACAGGGAAACTTGGAGGAGGTGAGGTTAGGAAAAGCAGCTCCTAGGTCTCCTGCCCACCCAGCTGCAGGGATGGCTCCTGACCCCAAGTGGGCGCTCTGCAGGCCCCTGCCCTTTGGGGAGCAGGGGCCTCCTCTGGGTCCTCTCCACTTTCCTGCTAGCGCCTTGCTGCCTATAAGGTAGAGCAGGCTGAGCATGAAAATCCACCAAATATCCCTGGCTACTGTGACTTGCTTCTGGTTGCCATCTTCCTTCCATTGTCACATTTCTGCTCAAAACGGTCAATATTCAGCTGCTGTCCCTGGAGTGACTGCCATTGTAACATAGGAATGTTTGTCTTGTTTAATCTTTTATGGTGAAATGTTGGAGCCTTAAACACTTGAAAAGCTAAGAGCTGTAGTAAATCAGCCAACCTGGCAAACAGAAACGAAGCCTCAGGTATAATCTATGAGTCAGAATGTAACTGTGTATCTATTCTTTGAGGTGAATATGGAAAGATTCTGGTGGAGGCAATATAAAGCCAGGGCCAGGAGGAGCATGTGACAGGAGAACCCCAATTAAAGTTTTGTTTTGTTTTGAATCAGAGTTTTGCTCTTGTTGCCCAGGCTGGAGTGCAATGGCATGATCTCGGCTCACTGTAACCTACACCTCCCAGGTTCAAGTGATTCTCCTGCCTCAGCCTCTCTAGTAGCTAGGATTACAGGAGCGTGCCCCCACAACCGGCAAATTTTTGTATTATTAATAGAGATGGGGTTTTACCATGTTGGCCAAGTTGGTCTCAAACTCCTGACCTGACGTGATCCGCCCACCTTGGCCTCCCAAAGTGCTGGGATTACAAGGCGGGAGCCACCATGCCCAGTCTTTTGTTTGTTTTTTGAGACAGAGTCTCGCTCTGTCACCCAGGCTGGAGTGCAGTGGTAAAATCTCAGCTTACTGCAGCCTCTGCCTCCCAAGTTCAATTGATTCTCCTGCCTCAGCCTCCTGAGTAAATGGGATTATAGGGGTGCACCACCATGCCTGGCTATTTTTTGTATTTTTAGTAGAGATGGGGTTTCACCCTGTTGACCAGGCTGGTCTCAAACTCCTGACCTCGTGATCGGCCCCCTTGACCTCCCAAAGTGCTGGGATTACAGGCGGGAGCCACCACGCCTGGCCCTGAATTAAAGTTTAGAGTTAAACTTTTGATAGTAATTCAAAATGGATGTAAATAGAAAAATTCAGTCACCTTAAAATAGGCCTGTTTGTCCAGCAGGTGCTGCCTGGAAGCCAAGTCTTCACACACACAGGAAGGCTGGCAGTCCCCAGGAGGTCAGCCAGCAGATCTGACTGGGAGGCCAGGTTGGCAGTGTCCCCCGCAAACCCTTGGGCACCAACTGTTTCCTGGGGCATTGGCAGCCCTGGTGCTCGCTGGAAGTGAGCAAGTTGGCATTCTGACTACAGACTGCAGGGTGGCTGCTAAGCGTGAGTCAGCAGGGCCCCATGAAGGCCTCTGTCCTCTCTCCTGGGCTTGCTGGGTACCAGCTGTGATCCCAGATTAGTCACTCCTCCCCTAAACCCCGCCTCCTCGTCCTTACCAGAGGATGACAATATATGTGTGGACTTAAGGAAATTAAGTGTGCAAGAGAGCATAGATACAGAAGGTGAGGTCCCCAGAGCTACGTGGCACCATAAGTTACCAGGATGGCCCTCCCCGCACCCCACGTTCCCCCACCTAGGCGATTCGCCGCTCCTTCCCGCCTGTGTTCATTCCCCTCCCCCGCACCTCCAGTCCCCGGAAGCTTAGAGATCCAAGCCTCATTTCCGGTACTACAGGTATTTCCAGCATGAACCACCACGCGGGTTCCTCAGACCCGCGGACTGCCGGGAACCGTGGGACTAGGGGCGGCAAGAGGGGCGAGAAAGTCCAAGCCCCTGCCCCATCCCGCGGCAAGGAGCCGAGGGGGTGACGTCACCCGGCCCGCGCGCCCCCTGGCGGGAGCATGGCACCACTGCTCTGCGCTTTTGCGTCCTGGCGTGTGGATGACCAGACTGGGTGTCAGATCCACGCCACTGCCCCGTGTCTGGGTGACCTTGAGCCAGACTCGTTCCGTCGCGGCGCCACTCATTTGTAAGGCAGGGATAGTGACACTTGCCCTGACAACCGCGCCGGTCGTGAAACTTATTCACTGAGATAGTAACAACGTTACTTGGGCCAGCCACCCCTGTACTCACTGTCTTACATGGTCTAATCTGATCTCCCAATAACCCTGTAAAGTGATGACTATTACTCTGCTCATTTTACTCCAGAAAACTGAATCTGAAAGGTTAAAGGATGGAAAAATATTCTGTAAGCTGCAAAGCACTAGGCAAATATAATTATATTTCTCTCTCTCCCTCCTCCCCCTTTGAGAGTTCCCAGGCAGTGAAGGGAACAGAAAAACACAAGGCATCATGTAGCACCATAATGCCAATGTGGTCCACCTTCCTCCCCTATTTTGGACACAAGACAACTTTCGTCTTCTCTTTCCACACCCTTGGGGATCCCAAGCCTCCTGGGACATCGACCGCTCATATCATCTTGCCCAAGTGAAACCAGCAAAGTCCTTCCTGATGTCTAACCTCAGCCCCTCCTGGGTGTGAGCTCTCCACCCAGCAGCACTATCATAGTCCTACCATTCCATCATCTGGGTGAGATGGCAGTGAGGCCAGTGACTGGCCCAGAAATCCAGCCCGTTGAAACCTGCATGCTGAAAAGGAATGACTTCATCCTGGGACAGGAGAGGTGGCAGGCAGGAAAAACAGTTAAGTAGGTCAGGGTTGTTTGTGGCACCACCCGCCCCCTGCACTT